CCGTTAGCCCCTTCGTCCTGGCCTCCTATCACCGCAACCGCACGCTGACCGCCCTGGCTCAAGGAGGACACATCTGCTTCTACTTCGGCTTCGCCATGAGCTTCTTCGGCCTCGCCACCATGCTCATCCTCTTCGCCATGGCGCTGGAGCGGTGCCTGGCCCTGGGGCGGCCTTACTTCTACGAGCGCTTTCTCAGCCCCCGCACGGGTTTGGTGGCCCTGCCCGCCATCTACACCTTCTCCGCCGCCTTCTGCTCCTTGCCGCTGGTGGGCTTCGGGCGCTACGTCCAGTATTGCCCCGGCACTTGGTGCTTCATCCAGATGCACCTGGACTACCTCCAGGACAACGGCGGCAGGAAGGTGTCCGGGTTGGATGTCACCTTCTCACTTCTCTATGCCACCCTGCTCCTCTTCCTCATCCTCTCCGTGCTGCTCTGCAACCTCAGCGTCATCGTCAACCTGGCCCGCATGCACCGCCGCGGGCAGAAGACCCGACGGATGGCCACGCTCGAGCAACCCCGGGCGGCCGGTGGCTGCGGCCGGCGCATGTTCTCCATGGCCGAGGAGATCGACCATCTCCTTCTCCTCTCCATCATGACCATCACCTTCGTCATCTGCTCCCTGCCATTCACGGTGAGTGTGACCGCCTCTTCCCTGGGGTGGGGTCCCTCTCCCCAGCACCTCCGTTTCTCTCCATCCCTTTATAAGGCTTTTCCCCACCACTGCCCAAACTTTAAAGGCTGCGGTCAAAGCTTACCTCCTCCTGAAGCATGGGGTCCGGACCCCCGCTCTGCCACAAATTCTAGGCAATTCGCACATCCACTGGGGAACTGGGAGAATTATCCCCCATATCCCCAGTGCTGGGAGGAGGATGGGGTGGCAGGAGGTTGAAGTGACAGGATGACAGAGTGGTAGGAGGATGGGGTGACAGGATGAGGTGGCAGGAAAACGGGGTGGTAGGAGGATGGGGTGGCAGGAGGGTGAGGTGGCAGGATGACAGGGTGTCAGGAGGATGGGGTGACAGGATGAGGTGGCAGGAGGATGGGGTGGCAGGAGGTTGAGGTGACAGGATGACAGAGTGGTAGGAGGATGGGGCAGCAGGAGCAGAGGTGCTCTCCCATCGCACAGAAGCTCTAAGGCCAGGCAGTGTGACTCAGGCAGGCTCTAGGTTAGGGTTCCCCTGGACCACACAGCATCACTGCAGTTCCTGGGAGCCAGGCACTCATGATGGAGAGGAATAAATCAGACATCTAAAGATTGGGATGGAGGAGATGCCATTGGGCTGGAGACTGTGGGTATCTGTGCTGTGTGGGCAGTGTTAGCCCAGATTTCTGTGCCAAGAAGGGAGGATGGAGCTGGAGATGTGGGCAGGCAGCACCGACCTCACTGTTAGACAGAGGTTTCCACTGCTCTGTAACACTGGGGTGCAGGCATGGGATGGGTGATTGCTGGGAATGGAGATCCAGCACATGGGCCTCAGCATCCCTCATCCTAAGGGTTGTTCCCACTTCCCGTGCTCCGTCCGTGCACCAGGCTTCCAGCAGAAATACGGGGTCGAACCACCGCAGCCAAGTGAGGAAGGGGAGAGAGTGAGTCCCCTGACTCTCCCCACAAAAGGGCCATTTTTCATCCATCCGCACCAGCAGCATCGTGGAACCCGGAGCACCTCGAGCCACTGGAGTCCCCTGCCCGTGTGTGCGAGCCCGCTGCCGTGGGAGGTCATTTTGTTCCCATTAGAAACGGGCCCTACCAAGGTTGGGAGCACAGCCAGCGCTAATTTTGTGCTCATGGAGTTAAATAGATGCTACCTTCCCTTCGTGCTCCCTTTCTTTTCCCAAGGGAAAATAAAATAACCACAGGCTGTAGCTGAGCCAGGCTGCCTGGGTTTTAAGACAGAGAAAAGACAAAGCAGTAATGTCCGGATGCTCGCAAGCATCCCAGGAGCCAGACTCAACATCCTGAGAGACGCCTCAGCTCCTGTCAATAGGCCCACACATGATGGGCAGCTCGCCTCATGTCCTAAAAAAGCCTGGGCTTGGGTGCTGTGGTCGTTACGATGCGACACCCCTTGGTGGGGACACGTGGGCAGGGCCCTGCGGGCCTGCTTGGGGCAGATGGGATGGGAAAGTGCCACTGGTGGTGATCCTGCAGCAGATATAGTCTTATCCAGAAGCACAGCTTTGCTTTTCCCACTGCTCGGCTCCCATGTGGGGTTGGGTTTGGGCTGCGTTTTGGCAGCGACTCAAACCGAGCTGCAGAACGCTTGCCGGTGCCTCTTTATAGTGTGACACTTTCTCTTCTGGCTGGGGCTGCCCACAGCAGCCACCCTGCGAGGAGCAGCCCGGGCACGTGAACCCAGCGAGCGTCAGGCCGATCCTTCCCCCCCAAAATCCCAGGGTAGCCCCTGGAATTGCTGTGCTTTCAGCAGCCACCTCATGCCCCGGGATGCGCCATCCCTGGGTGGTACCCAACAAATCCCAGCCAGAGGAGGGATGCTTATGCCTCCCGTGCCCCAACTCCCGTCCCCATCCAAGTATCCCCTCTCCCTGAAGCGAGGGGGTGGCGATTTGACCCGTATGAGTAAGGAGTGCTGAGTCACCATTCCAGGAAGCCCCGTAAGCTGCTATGAGTCAGCACGTCACAGGAAGGGCTGGAGTGGTCCAGCACCCCGCATCCCCTCCATCTTACACATTTATTTATCCCGTGCGCTCTTCCAGGTGAGACCGGCCGCTTAAGCAGCCTCTGGCTTAATTGTGTTAGGGCTAAACGAAGCCTCGCGGCATGTTGAGAGCAGAGCACAGGTCTGGCTTTCGTTAGCGAGAAGTTAATTTAAACAGATGGAGGCAGCAAGTGTGCTGTGACAGCCCAAATCTCCCCAAGAAGATGCCCGGGGGCAGGATCCTGGGAGCGCAAACCCGACGTTATTTCTCCCCGTTGTGTTTTACAGATCCGTGCCTACGTGAACAAGTTCAGGGAGGAAGAGGACAACCACGACTGGGACCTCCTAGCCCTGAGATTTCTTTCTATTAATTCCATCGTGGACCCTTGGGTCTTCGCCATCCTGAGGCCGCCGGTCCTGCGGTTCATGCGCTCGGCGCTGTGCTGCCAGGTGACCCCCACGAGCCAGGACAGACGGACTCTGTCCCCCGCAAAGACAAAACTGGCAGCACAGCTGGATCCCTGTGGGCCGTAGCTCCATCAGCCAGTCCAGGAGACATCTGTGAGGTGAAGCACGGCCCTGACAGATGTTCACAGAGCTCTGCCTTATGGCCCATAAAGAGACGTATCTGCTGCAGGGTGGGCCAGGTATGGGTGACCTGGCCAAGTGTCATCATGTGTCTGGGAAGCCCCTGGAAAGCCAGTGAAGTCTCTCAGAGGGCAAAAAAAAATCCAGTGGGACAAGATCAGAAGGGCTGATGAGTACCTGGGTATCGCTGTCGCCCTCAGATGGGGCTGCTCCCACCCGGGGAAGGGTGCAGGCTGCGTTCAGCCACGCTGTGGGAGGGTCAGGGGGGTGAAGCATGGGGGGGGGTTGTGATAACACTACTGCTGGGGGGGGTGTCGGGGAGCAGAGCTTCCTGCTGGTGTGTTTCCCAGAAAGGTCCCCGCGGTCGTTTTGGGCTGAAGGCAGTGTGCAGGCAGGGGTGTGGGTTGCCACTGTTGCTGCGAGCACCCCTCTCTGCCCCCAGGGTAGGAGAGGGAGGGAGCAGTGTATCCCCAAATATTCCCTATTATTTGGTAGGCTGGTTGCCTAAGGAAATGCACTTTACCAGTCTGTGTGCATGTGTTTGTCTGTCCGTCCCCCACTCCAGAGATTTTAGGCTCCGGTGGACGCCAGTCCAGCATGCCTGAGGGGCACCGGGGCAAAAAAAAAGCCAAATTGTGGCACTTCCCTTGTGCTGTGATGGCAGAAAAGCTGCGTGGCCCCTCCTGGGGACCCAGTTTGCGATTTTCTTTGCCCTGTAGTTTGTGCAGGAACTGACAAGGGGAATCAAGAGCCTAACCAGGTAATGAGAGGTTTTGATCACAGCTCTGCATTTACCCATGTCCAGGGTGATGCTGCTGGTGGGGTTTGGGTTGACACAGAGGAGGGCACGTCCTCTCAGGCTGCCCAGAAAAGTGCCCTCCCGCTGGCCTGGGACAAACCTGCTCAGGGGCTTCACTTCCTTAAAGGTCTTATTTGAAAAAAAAAAAAAAGTCAAAAAACCCAACAAAACCATAAAAAACAAGTGCAGAAACATCCAGGTCCTCAATCCTGCCCCGTCGGGCAGCGTCCTTCAGCTCTGCTGTTTTGTTTTGTGGGATGCCTGTTGCTCTTCGGGGCTTGGAGCTGGTCCCCATCGGGGTAAGGAGCATCCGACCCTGCGGGGGAGCCGGGTTTGTCCCGAGGCCATCGCTGCTGTTAGGGGTTGCTGGGGGGGGACGGGTCGCGGCTCCCATTTGTGCAGCGTCCAACACACACATTGTCATTGTGCTATTTCCAGTGGGGCGTCTCGTTGTCCATTTGAGAGCTGCAGCTCTGCTCAGAAAGCCCGAAGGTGCCGAGATTTGGAGCTTTTCTGCGGTTCATTAGTTGTGGTGATGTAAAAAGAAAAGGATAATTATAATTATTATTTAAATAATAAATGTCTTTCAAAGGAGCCTGTTGGATCATGTGTGGGTTTGTGCTTTCAGACGCACCTCAGGGTAGATCTGGCTCCTGGAGGAAACATGTCACCTGCCTGGAGCTTCGGGGGGGTGAAGCCTCAGGGATGGGGGGAGAGGGCAGGAGGGGAAGCTGGGAGGGGAAATGTGTGCCTCCAGTTTCCTAAAAAGTGAAAAAACGTTGTGTTTTATAGATATATGATGACATTGCTGCCTTCCTTCTGCAACCTGGCACCTGAGCTACAGAAATACCCCCACCTCTGAGCTTTTCCTAAAACTTGTATATCCCGAAGCCAGGGAGAGGCAGGCAGAGTTCCTACCTGTTATCAAAATACAAAAAAAAAAACCCAAACAAAAAAACCCCAAACACCAAAACCCACCCTAAAAAAAGGCAGAATTTATGTCACTTTTGTCAGGCAGCCAATATCCACAGGAAGTTTACTGGCCTCCGAAATGTGCGTGGGCAGATGTCAGGCATGGGCTGCTATTGCTCAAGCCCCGCCGGCGGGATTCTGGCAGCGCCCTGTGGCCGGGGGGTTTCGGGGGGGAGGAATTTCGGGTGGAGGTTTCAGGGAGAGGGTTCTAAGACGTGCCCAGCACACAGGGCTGTGGCGAGGGTGCTCCCCGCACCATCGCCATTAAGTCGCTAACCCTGTTGCTTGAGCCCGGGGGTGTCCAGATTTGGTTGACTCCCACCCGCTGCTCGGAGGAGACCCCCTCCCCAGTTTTTTCCCCAGCTGTGCAGACACTTTCTGAGTTCAGGGCTCGGCGCATCCCGTTTTACCTCAGCGGGTGCTTGGTTTGCAAAGGAGCCAAAAACTGTGGGAAGAGCCATGGGGCCACACGCTTTGTTTGTCTGGATGGTCACGACCTGGCTGCTCACGCTGGTATTTCAGGACCAGTTGCCTCATCTTTTAAGCCAGAGGAAAAGGCTGCCCGGCATGCAAAAATGGGGGAAAAAAAAAAAATACCCAAAAGCTTAGAGATGGCAGGGGAGGGGGTCACATCCCACAGAGACCAGCCTGCTGAGGTGTGTGACAGGGGTGGGAAGAGGACCCAGGGCCACCCGTGGCAGCACAGGGGCCAACCCAACGGTGGGATGCTCCCTGTAGCTCTCACTCTGAGGCTCCGCTCCCGCTGGCCACCAGCTCGGCTGATGACTGCTAATTGCTGGCTGCTTGTTTTTTTGGGAGGTTTATGGCTCCTCATCAGGAAATGCGGGGCTGGGAGACAACCTTCCAGCATCCAGCCCGCTGGGATCTGCTTTTCGCAGGGTAATGCTACAGTGGAGTCACTCTCATGCGAGCTGTCCCCAGTGAGGGACAAAAATCCTGGCAAGGGGGGGGTGGGGTGGGGAAACGATTTAGATGAAATTTAATGCAAAAATAAAAAAGATAAATGGGTTGTGAGTAGGAAGAGTCTTGGTGTGTGCAAGACAAGGAATTCTCTGAGAGCCGAGTCCCTCTGCAGTGATGTATCCTGCAGAGACGGGTCCCTTGCCTGGAGATGTGGGACACTGCTCTGTTTGGGGACCCCTCTACACCCTGCTCCTCACAGAGGGATGTGTTTTGAGCCCCCCCAGTGGGTGTGATGATTGGGCCCAACTTCTGAGCCCACTGGCCATGGGTTACTCCCTTTTGCTGCTGCCTTCCTCAAGCCCAGAAAACAAAAAAAGCGATCAACCCTCCTGCTCCTTCTTTCAGATGAGAAAAAGTCCTTAATTAGAGCTCTGCAAGGACAAGGAGGGCCGTGAATCCCTGTATCCTGAGCCATAAGCTGCCACAAAACACTGGTTTTATTAGCATCATTCAGGAGCCATTACGAAAGCCAAATTAATTTGACTCTCTTCAGCTCAATCGCTGTCTGCTCGGCTTAAACACAAGATGCTAAAGTGTCATTTTGTTGTCTGTGCTGACCCTTAATGATTTTTCATTTCCATACCGGAAACCCGCTGATGCCAGAAAGTGCCAGGCAGGTCTTTACGTCTGCATTTCCGTCTGGAAATCAAGCTGACGAAGAGGAGACAGAGAGAAGTCAGCCCTTGGGGACAAGGGATGGCATCCGCTGCCCATAAGACCTCTTAAAAATGGAAAGGGACTTTCTGCAGCTGCCAGAGGGACTGGGGACATGCGGGACCCAGGGGATGGGGACCCTCTCCAGCCAGATGGAGCAGCCTGGGGGTGGCTCCGAGTCGTACCCCACGAAAGCAGATTGGCCAGTGTCTCCCTCATAAAAACGTGAAGGGTCCGGGCAGTGAGGCATGATTTTGGTGGGAAAAGATGGTGATGCAATGCAGTGTTTTGGGGAAAAAAAGGCATGTTTTGGAGTAGAGAAGAAGGAGGGGGTCTTCCTGCTCTCTTGCTCCATTTTTGTCTTGTCTGGAACATCTCTGCATCTGGGTGCTGTCAGCAAGGAGCAAGCCCTCATTTTTCATCTGCTTTGGCCTCCTGGCTGAGCCTGAGGGCTTCACCTATGGTGGGGGCCACCAAAGCCCCACAGCCCCGTTCATGGGGGTCAGCAAACATGGGAAACACCTGGGTTACAGCTTGCAAAGGTGGGTGATGCAATGTGCTGTGTGTGGTGTTTTGTCCGAGCCCGGCATCCCTGCGGAGCATCTTTGGGATCTCTGGGCTGGTCTTTCGGGAGGCTGGAGGGAAAGCAGAGCCCTGGGAAGAAGGGGAGAGCCAGGCGGTAGGCAGCTGCCCTGCCGGGGGCGGCTGCATTTCCAGGCAGAGGATGGGCAGCGAGCCCATCTCCCCGGGCTCCAGGAGGACATGAGGCGTGATAGCTGTTAAACCGGATTAAATGAATTAGGCAAGGAAGTGACTTAAGAGAAGATGGCACGGCTGGGCTCCCGAACCAGCTTTACAGCGGTACCTTGGCATCGGATGCCGGAGCTGATGGCAAATCCTCATGGCTTGAGCACAGGGAAAAGAAAACATTTGCCTTTACTGTAGCTGCCTTTTGCTTTTGCAGCTGGTTTCAGATCTCTGCGTCCCCGTGTATTAACCTGAAACCTTTCCAGCTCCTCCGGGTCCTTCAGGTCACCCCACGTCTCCCCTTGTCCTGGACTCACCAGGTCTCTTTTTTTGGTCATTGGGGACTAACACTGAGCACTGCCCCTCTACAGCATCCCCAGAGGGGAGAGCTTGCAGTGAAAATGGTGTAAATCAGGCTGTATTTTACCTTGCAGCCCTGTAAGCAAGTATCAACCCTTTCCAGTAAGGCTGTTGGGATACCCCAAGCATCATAGGCTTAAAATCAGACCCTGTTGCCGAACATTGAGACCCAAAATGAGCAATCTGTGGCCTGTCCCCTGTCATTACGAGGGGCTATGAGACCTTGGAAGCTGCAGGGCTGTGGCAGAATTAGCTCTCTGCAGCCACATTCTCAAGGGGTTTTATGTAATGTATGAATAATAACGATTCTTTTCATTCAAGCTTTTTGGTTCAGCCTTGCAGGGGAGTGAAGGTCTCATCTGAGTTTTTCCCAAAACTGGTTGAATTGCTGATGTTTTGGCTGCTCAGGGGATTTTCTGGTTGCTGGCACTCTCATGGGTCTCTGTTCCTCCCCACTACCTGGCTGTGGTTTCAGGAGCTGATGCATGAGGGAGGAATGTGGGATGGAGGCGCAGCCCTCCTGCTGCCCACAGCTCCCACAGGCTTGTTTCTCCCTGCAGCCGGATCTGGGTGTGCCGGGAGGCTGAGCCAGAGGATGCTGGGGATGGTGCTGGGCCCTGGATGGTGAGGACAGCCGTGCATCCCCTGACCCATCTTCAGCCTAAAGACACAGGCAAGGGAAGGACTAGAGGGAGCAAAACCCTCCTAGGGTCCTTCCCTTCAGTCTGGGGGACGTGCTGCTGCAGGAAAACCAACCAAGGGGACAACTGACGGGCTGGAAAAAATCCAGCCAGAGCTTGGAGATGATCTACGACTGATTGAAAACACAAGAAGGGAAAGTTTTACAAACCCAACTGGGATGAGGAGCTAAAAATACAGATGCTGTGGCTTGGAGAGGCAGCGAGCCATCCAAGGCCACCACTTCTTTGTTTGCTGCGGTGATGTGCACGCATGGCAGGCCTGGTACTCACCCCCAAAGAAAGTCCTTTCCCTTAAGAGCATCCAGATGAGCCACACGATAATATATATTCTCACTTGCTGCTCTTTCTACCGCTGATGCTTGATGAAGGGAGACGCATGACCGTTCTCTGAGAGGGATGGCAAGAGCTGGACCACACTTCCCCGATGCTCGCGGGCTTTGCCGCGGAGGCAAAAGCAGCACGAGGGGTTTGGGAGGGGCACAACGGGTCCCTGCTCAAAAGCCCAAGGTGGGCAGCGTGTTTGGGGAGGCTCCTGGAAATCGCAAGGGTTTCCCATGCTGAGCTGCTTTTTTAAACCGGATTTCCTTGAAACGTGGAAACATCCGCGCCCATCAAACCCGCAGGGAAATGCCGCCGATCTGCCAGCGCTCCTGCAGTTCCCGAAGTGATCTAAATCTTCAAAAACAAGAGACTAAACAGTGTCAAACTCATGTCAAACATCTGGCTTTCAAAAAGGCCATAAAAGTTACGAGGCATTGCTGAGGATGATGGATCGCTCGCTACCCTGCCCTGCATGCGAAATGCTGCGACCTCGCCTGCAAACTCCGTTTATTAGGTAAAAAAGGGACCCTGTCAGCAGCCTTGTGAGCTGAGCTCATGCAAGCAGGCGAGCAAAGGTCCTAGGGTTTCCAAGCAAGTCACTCTATTAATCTGTGTTAGGGCTTTGGGTCCCTTTTTTTGATGAAGAGCAGCCACCACCTGCTCTGGTTTCACTGCGGTTCCAGCTGAGCTGCCCCAGATGCAGAAGGTGCCAGTTTGTGGCTGAAATAAAAACCTTCTAAAAAAAACCACCCGAAAAAGCTTGTTTCTCTGAGCAGCAGTCGACTGTCATGGTCAGAACATCAGC